ACTTGATGTTTTGAGAAAGCCTATTAGATGTCTTGATAGCCATCATGAAGCCCATAGAAGTCATTGTGCAAGAGTTCAGAAGATTCAACCATGAATGGTAGAATTAGGGTTTTGACTGGGTCAACCCTAGGATAACTGAAAATTTGGAGAAGGTTGAGACCTAATCCAAGGGCCATGAGATCATGGAATGATGCATAGAGGTGTTATAAAGATGATTCCTAGATCAATTCATCATGATTGAGGAGTTTGAGAAGTTTCAAGTCAGGGTTTCTGAGGATTGTCAGTGAAAAAACCCTAGTTTGATCCCTACTTTCCAGGCAGTTTTAGCTCTAGATGTGATTGATATCTCATCTTCCCCACAACATTAATGTTGTAGATCTTGTTCTTATCTTTAATTTGAGTGGTGGAAGTCCTTGATAGGAGTTACAGAGCTCAAGTTATGGTTTTGACAAATTACAGGTCAGCTGAGGTGTGTGAATCTGGGTCCTTGAAAGTCACCCAACTTGCAGATAACTTTTGCCCTAGTAGGATGATTCCTATGATCTCTTGGTCAACATGAATGTTGAAGGGAATCTTCTTAGCTTTAATTTGAGTGGTAGACATCCTTGATAGGATTTGTGGAACTCAACTTATGGTTTGAACAAGACAGGGGTATTTTGGTCATTTGTCAGTTATAGGTCATTTTTAAGCAAATGCCATATCTCCTATTTCCAAGCCTCAAATGGAAAAACTCAAAACATGAAAGTTGTTCAAAATGTGATTTTAAGTCTAGAAAGAAGGTCTTGAGAGTTTGGAAATGCATGGAGCATGGATATTTTAAAATGGTCAAAATGAACTAAAAAGGGCTTATAAGTTAAAAAAGTTGAAATGGGATTTTGGTTTGAGAGATCTACAAATCCAAAATGGGGCATATGATAGATGATTTTGATTGGAAACAACATTTTGGAAACAATGGTTTATCCACATTTTTGAGTTTAGGCTTAAAAATTGGACTTCCTTTGTAAATTTGTTTCTTGCACTTTAAGGTACCATGAGAAATTGTTTGCCAAAGCCTTAATTTTGCATAAAATGTCTTGTTCTCACATGTACATCTCATATAAGGGTATTTTGAAGACTTATCATGAGTTTTATGAGATTTACTAAAAATAGTATTTTTGAATTTCTCATTACGTGAGAAGTTCTAGAACTTCCTTGGAAGCTTCTCATATGTTCTAGATCTTTCCTTTCACTTCCATAAATACCCAAGGGTGAGATCATGCCATGGTTGGTGATTCTTTATGCATGCATGCTACACTTTGATCCATAAACTCCAAATTGCATTTTCATTTCAATCTTTACCAAAACTCCATTAATAGTGAGATCTTTCATCATCATCATCATCCTCCATCATTGTAGAGAGGAAACCATGCAATATTGAACAGAATTCGTGGCTGGTTTGTGAGTTCTTCTCCATCACTCCAAGTGGCGTGAAGCTTCGAATTGGCATTTTCAAGAGGTGTAAACACGATTTCTCTTCACCAGCATCATCACCATCATCCAAGGATCAATTGGCACAAGTGGCAAGGGCTGAAACAAGGGATAGCAACCATCACCATATCCATTTGGTAAGAATACGTTTTGATTCCAATCACCAAGATTAGCCATTGTTAGGGTCAATTGTTAAGTTATATGAGATAGAGACCACTTAAGGATCATTTATGGTGAGTTTAAGGTCAATCCATGGAGGTTCAAGATGTGGTGTCAATTCTTGGTTGGTCAAGAAAGCTTGAAATATGAGGTTTTAATGCATGTATCATAGTTTAGTATACTCATGGAAGCAAGAGGAACACATTGGTATCTTTATTTTCAAGGTTGGTTAGAGTTGAAAAGTAAGGTTTCATGGTGGTACCCATGCCTTGTTGTTGTCGGTTTGAATGTTAGAGAGAGTTTCAAGATGAGATAAAGCCATGGCTGTGTAGAGGGCGAGAAGAGGATCATTTTTGGTTTTAATTTCGTGCTGTTTCATGGCTTGAGGAGGGAGAACGGATCGTTGGAAGTTTCATGCATGAAATGGAGTTTTCATGAAGGTTAGGGTTTCTTTGAAGAAGATGAACCACAACCCTTGGATTGCATCTCAATTGTTGACTTGACTTTGATCTTGCGGCCTAAATTTTATTAAACTTCAAAAATTCATAACTAAATGAAAAATGCATATTTTTAACTCATTCTTTTTTTAACATTTTCATTAAAATGTCCAGAATTTTATAAAATATAAAAATTGCATTTTATATTTTAATTGGTATTTTTCTCATATTTTACAAATAAATGCACATTTTTAATCATTCATTTCATACATGATTTTGCAAATTTTTGTTCATGCATTTAGAAATTGATTTTTTGCCCATTCTTTTTTGTGGTGTTAGATATTAATGTGTATCATTTAATAAAAATAAAAATGTGATTTTATTTTTAGTTTAGAATTTTTTGTATAATATTCTTTTAAATAGTGCATTTAATTCTTTTTAGTTAGTACCTTAACTTGTAGAATTTAATTAGGATAGTTCCCTTAGGCTTTTAGGGCCATTCTTTTTGGCATAGTTAGATAATGTAATGTAGTTTCCCCTGGATTTATTACTAGATTTTTAGATTAAGATTTGATTAGTTTAGTTGAATTGAACTTAGGATAGTCTAATTAGGGTTTATGTTGTGCATAGGTGAGGAAATTCATTTTCTTTAGATAGTTTTGTCTTGATTTTTGGGTAGAGGCATATGTGGATGTTATGGATAGATATTGTAGACCCTTGTGAATAATTGTTGGATTTTTCCCCCTTGGTTTAGTATTTTCAGGTGTTTTCTGAAGTTGCCTATTGATTTTGTCTGTCCTGTGGTTATCTGTTCATCTCTGGGGTTTATTTTGGGGGATTTGTTGTGGGGCTTGTGTTGTCTTGAAGACCTTGTTGGAGAGCATGATGAATAGAAGATTGTAGATCAAGACTCAGAGACCCAGAGCTTGGAGCTTATTCCCTGTCTGTGAGGTTTGAGATCCTAAAGTTTGAAGGAAGTTCATGGTACTTTCCTGAGGAAGGCACTATGAATGACTTTCATTCTTTCTTCTCACCTCTTTCTCAAGTATCCAATGATGTTGGAGCCAACTTGTGAGTTTAATTCCTCCTGAGGAGGAATATAAACTGATCACCTGTTGTTGAGCCACATGGGATACAATTCCTAAGTGGAAGCCTCCTAGTACTTTCCTGAGGAAGGTCCTATGGGTCTATTCACTTAGTTCCATTAGTTTATCTAGGATTTCTCAAGTATCCAATGATGTTGGAGCCAACTTGTGAGTTTAATTTCTCCTGAGGAGGAATGTAAACTGATCACATGTTGTTGAGCCACATGGGATACAACTCCTAAGTGGAAGCCTCCTAGTACTTTCCTGAGGAAGGTCCTATGAGTCTGTTCATTTAGTTCCACTAGTTCATATAGGATTTTCTAAATATCCAGTGATGTTGGAGCCTGCTTGTGAGTTTAGTTTCTCCTGAGGAGGAATGTAAACTGATCACAGTGGTTGAGCCACATAGGATATGACTCCTGAGTATACACCTCCTAGTGCTTTCCTGAGGAAGACACTATGAGTCTGCTTACTTAGCTCCCTTTCTTTGGTAAGCTTGTTCTGAAGCTTGAAGACTGGGATTGTCTTTTTTGGTTAGGGTTTTGCTTTAGGGCCTTGCTTAGATTTGATCAGGATTCTGTGTTAGGGTTAGGATTAGAGAGTAGAATCTTTCTTTCTCAAGCATGTGATTTGTTTGCCTGATGGCACTTCATTTCTTTTATCTGTTATTGCTTGATAGCATGTTGTTTATTTTCAGTATGATTGCTGTTATTTCATGACTGGCTTGAGGTCGAGACGAGCTTGTGGAGGCTGAAGCCCCACACACATTTCCTCCCTCACTTGCATTGCATGCATTTTACTGTTAAAGTTGATGCTTTTGTCTGTTTTGGTGTATCATTGACATGATCCCTTAGGACTCTCATTTCTTCTGATGAGGATTTGATGATAGACTTTTAGGTTGAAACCTATGCATGACAACATCTAGGAGTTCCCTGTTCAAACCTCAACCATAGGATGAATCCATGGCATGACAACAGTAGGACTTGATAGTCTCCCTCCTAGTTGGGCCTGTTCTCTTCTCATCTCGAAGCAGTTTAAGATACAGTAATCATGAATGATTTCTTTCGTACGTTACGAGCCTTAAGCTATCTGAGATTGGATGTTTAGTATGGTACCCTTTGGGTGACATGCGACGCATTCACTCTCAGGTCATAGTCTCTAGTGCGGTTGAGATCGCAAACAATAAAAAACGCTTCTTTCAGGAGATAACCCGTGGTTTCCCGAACTACGTTTGCTCTGATCTTTCATACCAGATGAAAGTACGTAGGCATAGGACGCGATGTCCTAGCGAGCAACCTTCCCCATCTTCCCCGTAGTTAGCCGAACTACGTTGACTCTGATTTCTCGTTCCAGACGGGAATACGTAGGCATAAAGTGCGACGCTTTGCCGAGTCATTTTTCTTTTCTTTTTCAGCCAGCCTTGATAGGTAGATAGATTATAACCAACCCGTCCAAGTAAACAAACAAGCGAGGATCCCGTCGAGTACGACGGACGTGAGGGGTGCTAATACCTTCCCCTTGCGTAACCGACTCCCGAACCCAGACAATGGTTGCGACGACCTTGTCTTACCCTTTTTCGTCAGGTTTTTCCGATCGTTTCCTTTCCCGCTCTGAGGGATAAATAACGAAAGGTGGCGACTCTTCTGTTTTGCCGGCACCTTATTTTTCGCGCAAGCGACACCAACAAGCTCACCATATTCACATTTTCATCGCCATCACCATACAAAAACTCTGACGCTTCACCAAAATCACCATTCCTATAAAATAATTCCACAGGAGTCCTCACACCCTCCACAACAATACAAGTTACATCCACTTCTGGTGCTTCTATCTTCGCTATCAACGACAAAATTCAAGTTTCATAAGGGTAAACTCTTTTAGGATAACCAATATCTTTGAGAAAATCAACCATATCATGAGCTGAATAGCTTCTATTCAAAGTAGTAACTAATGGTTTTTCAACATCAAACATCTTAGGATTAGGCAAAAGCCACAAATTACTCATTTCATCAACAGTTCCACACCATGGAGCAAAAAGTGCTATAAAATGTTTAACAAACTTTTTTCGCCAAGAAGTCGGGTTTTGATTAAGGAGTTCGAGAACATACAAACCTCCTAAGATATGTGAAACAAGTATCACCGGTTTTCCTCCATTGGAATTGCTTGCTTCTTCTACCAAACTCTTTAACTCGTTTAATTTCGAACCTACTCGAGATGGATGACCCGCCATTGCTAAACCATATCGAAAATCATAAGGAGCTCCAAACAGATTTTCACCATCTATGTAACCAAGTTGCTCTAATGATTCAACTAAAGGTGCCATGTAATCTGTCACAATCCTATACATAAAAAAATAACAATAATGTAACATAAATTATTGTTAGATCCTTGAAACATTCTATAACCTGTCTTGTCCCATAAACAAAATCCTAAAACAAAGTGTAGGAAACATAAATAAGATAAAAAACATGATTATGAAAAGAAACTTACTTGAGACCATGATCTAACAATAATTCTAAATAGAACAGATCACAAATGAAGCATAAGAACAAATGACAAAAAGGTGGTCAATGTTCTCGGCAACCCATAATAAGCACGGTATATTCCTGCCTATTTTTCGACAAAAAATGAAGGGGAAAATCAAAATTATCAAGCGATGGGGTTTTCCTTTCCAATTCTAAATAGAACAAATCACAAAACAGAATAATTTTCAAATCCATAATGCACTTAGCACAGAACATATAAGAATGAGAAATCATAGGGTAGTTATGCTTACTTGGATTTCAAGGGGGTGCCCATGAATGCACATACGCCTGTCTATCATGCAAGATCCATAAGTGACTAACAGAGGTGGAAACATATCAAAACCATCTGTTAGACACAGTTTAAGAATCATTTTCAACCCTGTTTGAACATTAACCCTTTCTTGTAAGCTATAGTCACTCGTGATCTTCCCGTAAGCCAACAATAGGATGATACCCCATAATCCTATCAAAGAAACAAAAGACGAAACTCATTTTGTCAAGTTACTTATTTTTAGAATGCTCTTGGTTTAACTTACAATTTACAAGCAGTTTTGAAGAGGACTATTTTTTTTAATCAATGGGTAATCTTGGAAAGAAATTTAAATACTCAAGAAATAAACACACATATAATTGGTTCAACACTAAAAAAAAACACACAAGCATCCGACATATGACTACAAGCTTCACGCAGAAGGACGGTTCTTTTTTATATTCTTATAATAAGAATCAATTCTTAATAAAAAAATCTCCACATTTAACAACACATGTGAATAACTTGAATAAGAATCAATTCTTAATAAAAAAATCTACACAATTAACAACATGTGGTTAACTTGTTAGACCCCTTTTAAGCTTTTCAAAGAGTTAGTTTGAGCGAAAAAAATATTAAAAATCTAAAAATCATGTGTCTTAGTACTAATAGATCCTTAAAAAAAAGGTTAACATTCTTAATATTCATTATTCACCTATATGCTATAACAATCTACTAAATGCAAATCAAATAAATTTTTTGAATATTTATAAAATAGAACTTTTCAAAACTGAAACTTAGTGGCACACTAAAATCATAAACCAAACCAAAATAACAAACTAGGTTCAAATCAGTCACACATCAAACTCAACTACTTTTCATAAGAATCAATATGGATTGACTCAACTAATAGCAATCAAAAATCAAAACCACCAACAAGTTAAAACTTAGAATTTCCCAAATTAAAATAAAAATAAAAACCAGGTTAAAAGTGGTAATCAATGAACAAGTAGAAAAAACAGTATGTACTACCTAGCAGTTAGCGGTGACCAGTGAGAAACGAAAATGTGCGTAGAGGATTTGCTTCCTAATCTCTCGTTAAATTTTCAATCTCAGAGTGAGAGATTATGATATTGCAAATTGCAAAATATCATAACAATACTAGTGAAATTCAACACAACCAAAATCAAATATCAATATCAGGAATATAAAAACATTATCATTATTATAATACACAAATACAAAAAACGCATTTAATTCACATGAATCTAAACTGAAAAGAGAGTCAATGATAAAAAATAAAAGAGAATAATAATAATTATTATAGAAGTAGAAACTTTACCGGAATTTTTTTCTTGATTTTGATTTGAATGAATCTCTGCCCCAGAATCCTCTCCGACGACCTCGCCGACCAACCGTCTTGTGTAGCTTTTAGGACAAGGTGTTTTTTTTAATTATTTATGAAAAATAATGAAGATGATGAAGTTGTGAATTAGAATGAAACAAATTGTTACGGAATTTTTTTTTTACGAAAAGTATGAATATTGCAATATTTGTGTAAAAAAAAATAACAGTAATTGATTTTACATGTTCTTATTTTAATTATATTAAATCTAAACCGTTCATTTAATCTATTGGTTATTGTTTGAGATTTCACTGAAGAAAAACTTAATTGAACCCTCACCTTAAACTTAACATATATATATATATATATATATATATATATATATATATATATATATATATATATATATATATATATATATATATATATATATATATATATATATATATATATATATATATATATATATATATATATATATATATATATATATATATATATATATATATATATATATATTACGTGTTCTATATTAAACACTCAAATTAAAAACTGGTGAATTTTTTTTAAAAATAATTAAAATATTTATAAAAGATAATGATTAGAATAAAAATAGGTCACTCAAAACACCTCTATTCCCTTTATAGTGGTGGCCCAAGCCCAACCCACTTCCCTAAGCCCCATAATCACTACCTCATTGCTTTTGTTGTATCAGAACAACTTGCTGATGCACCCAACCCAACTTTTTGCAAAAACCAAAACCTCGACGGAAACGCCGCCGAAATTAGACGGGCGCCCATCAGAAACTGTGAGAAGAAATTTCATCTTTTTCTCTTTTCATTTTATTTTAAAAGTTTTTTGTTCTTTAAAATCTTCATTTTAGCGAGCGCGAAACTCCGCGATTTCAGTGAGTCGCGCCGTGTTGTTTTCGTGAACTGCACGAAGCAGCCGCAGGCGCCGCACCTATCATCTCTGCAGCGGCAGCACCGCCGCCGTGATTAACTACCAACTAGGCCTACTGTTTAAAAAACTTTCATATTGCAACTCTCTTATAATTAAATCAAGATATAGATGCTTTTTCAGTGTTTCAATAATAGGTAATTAGGTTTTGCAATTTCACGTTTCACTCTTTTAATTTGGAATCAACCATTGGTATGTTCTGCGTTTGAAAAGTTGTGATGTAATAATGTGTTGGTTGCTTCTGCAGTGTGATGATTCTTGTTGCGTGAAACGAATTGAATTTGAATTCATTCACATCAATCCGCTTTGAAAGAGGTTTTTTTTGGCTTATAAGCGTAAACATGACTGCTGCTTTGTCCCAAAGAGAAGAACAAATAGAGAATGTTTCAAATAGAACCATTCCCAAAGTACTAATCCAATGTGAAGAATGCAAATCTAACCCCTCAAAGTACAAGTGTCCGGGTTGCTCGATACAATCGTGCAGTCTTCCTTGTGTAAAAGCTCACAAAGCTCGGACCGGGTGTAATGGCAAGAGGAACCAGACTCAATTTGTTCCTATTTCACAATTTGATGACAATATCTTGTTATCTGGTACTTACTCTTTAAGCTTTGTGTTATGTTATACCTTTGATTTTGAGAACGTTTATGCAACACAGACACTTCATATTGAAGGAATGTCCAATGTTTGACACCAAATCAACACATGTTTTTACCTTTGATCACTCATTTTTTAAAATTGTTATTGGTGTCTAGGTATTAGTGTCTGTGTGGTATCAGGTATCCTTGTAGTAAGCATTACACGGTTTTTACCTTTATAGGCTTTTTCTTAGTTGGACTGAATGGACTTATTCTTCTTGTTTGTGTTATCCTTGGAAATAAGGGAAAGGACCATTCATTTTGGGTTCCTTGGATAATTTGCATAAGTACTTTTTATCTTAAATTCAATGTTCTTTTTTGGATTATTTTATTAATAGCTCATTTGAATTCTACTTTTTTTAATTTTCCATGCTGCTTGTTGTTGTTCTGTCCTCCATGTAGATTATAATTTGCTGGAGGAAGTGAAGAGAGTGGCTGAAGTTGCTTCAAAAACGAGAACAAAGTTAGGCGTGTCTACATATTTTAAGTTGCCTTATCACCTCAAAAGCCTGCAACGTGCTGCTGGAAGCCGGAGAACAAAACTATTGTTTCTCCCTAATGGAATGTCAAAAAGAGAGAATAATCATTCTCGATTTGACAATAGGTATTATCATCTTTCTTTTGTATGCAACTTGTTTACTTTTGAACTTTTCCTGTATACATGATATGTATACACAAAAAGTGATGGCCTTCAGCTTGGATTTATTTAATTTTTATTGAGCTGCAGCTTTTTCTTAATGCATTGATGCTGGTGAGAGATATAGATTACACCAGTGTTGTCACATAGCAGCACTACAGTAGCACCATAGCATAGGGGAATCTGAACAAATTGTTATTGTTCTGCGATATGCTATTTGGTAAATGGTTGTCAAATAGTCCCTATTGGGATGTTATAACGCAGTGTCGTAGTGGAATTTGAACATACAACTATTTTTTGCGATCTGCGTTTGACATCACCGGGTTATTGGATTGTTTCATATTTAGATTATTGAGGTGAAGGCTTTTGTTTCAAATAAATTACAAATATTTTTATGCTGTACTTTCAGGGAGAAGTCTATACATTGGACAATAGAATGGCGTTTTCACTCGACAAATATTGTTTTGCACGACCACGGGTAAGCCATTTAGATGATGCGCCTTATCTTGTTACATGCTTAAGAATTTAGAGAAGACAAATTTGAAAAGATGCTACACTCATTTCTTCCAGAGTTCATGAAGATACAAGCTTTTGCACCATTCTAGAGAAGCACCTCAAACCAGGTCCTTGGAATCATCAACTAAAGGAATTTTGTGATGACCATGATCGTCTCAAGCTCTTCATTCGTAAATATCCAAAGGTGTTTTTCTGTACTTTTTGTGGTAGAAATGTAGTATAAAAGCTAGTAGAGTTTTAGGGTATGTTTGGATAGAGGGTTTTTCATGGGAAAGAAACTTATATGATCATCTACCATGTTATTCGTTCAATGTAGATTTAGTCCTCCAAACTTTCCATCCAAACATACCCTTAGGTAATTTATTGACTACATCAAAATTGACTTTATTATTTTAGTTATAAATTTCATCTTATTTATGTTAATATAGGGTCCCAAGTCACCCTTCAAAGAATTGGATATGAAAGCACCAATCAAACAACAATTGAAAAATATAGTCATTTTGGAGTATCCCGTTGTTTTTGTTTTCTTGCCGTCTCACACTATCAATTTCGAAGTTATTAAGAACGTCATTCCTAGTATGCCTAAATCACTGCAGAAAGATAGTGAAGTTAACCTAATACCAGAAGGTGTGTCGTTCAGGGAAGAGGAGATTGGAGATGACAACAACTCCGATGATCCTAAGGTTTTTGATCTTCTGAAGCATGTAGAATCAAGTCCATCACATCAAGTGCATACTGAAAATACGCCTTCCGAGAAAGCACCTAATGATACTAAGGTTTTTGATCTTTTGAAGTATGCAGAATCAAGTCCATCACATCAAGTGCTTACTGAAAATATGCCTTCCGAGAAAGCACCTAATGATCCTAAGGTTTTTGATCTTTTGAAGCATGCAGAATCAAGTCCATCACATCAAGTGCTTACTGAAAATACACCTTCCGAGAAAGCACCTAATGATCCTAAGGTTTTTGATCTTTTGAAGCATGCAGAATCAAGTCCATCACATCAAGTGCTTACTGAAAATACGCTTTTCGAGAAAGCACCAAATTATACATTAGATATACCAGTGTTTCAAGGAGATGTTAAGAGAAATTTTTCGCCCTCATGTTTCATAGACACGGATTTACAATTGTCTGAATCTGGGATGTTCGACTTTGAACAAGATCTTATGTTTGAAGGTCATTCCTATGATCTTATGTATCAATTCAATCCCCAAGTCTTCCCAGAGTTTGATTGTGAATTTGCAAAGAAAGATGAAACCGAAATAGATGTGTTTGACGCCATTAACCAGCTCCCTGAGATACGGCAGACGGAGCAATTGGAGGAAGGGGAGATTCCCGATTGATTGGTAGCTATAGCCACTTCTGCTGAAGAATTGAGAAGCAAACGAGACCAGATAATCACATCTTTGTTGTAAAGAGGAAGTTGCTACTTCTTGTTCATCGTTTCGGGCAGAGACAAAAGCTGTTGGCATTGGCCTTTTTCTCATCACATCAGGTCAAATTTTGGTATTGGATTATTTTATTTTTGTTTGGCTACATCCTTTTCAAGAGAAATTGATTACAACACTATATTATTAATTTATTTCAGTTTCAGTTACATCTTTCAATCATATATTGAATTTACATTTCTGCATCTTAATGTTGATTGAGTTTTACTTTTAAACATGTCATTGAAGATTGTGTACTTCTCAATGACAATGCTATTATAGGTTGTTACGGTGAATGCTATTTTAAAAATTTATGTTGGGTGCAATCTAAAAATTTTGCAATCCTGCCCTTTGTTTTTTTTTCCTTTTCTTTCCGAACCCACGTTCTTGTAACCGATGTCTTGATGTCCTGCCTTTGTTAATATCAGTACATTATGGTATAGTTTAGATTAGCTGCTAGCTTTTAAAGGCTTCTTAAAATAAGCTCATAGGCGTGTATTCAGAAAAGCTAACTAGAGATCTTTTAAGAAAATTGAGAAGTTTATCTGAAGTGGCTCACTTGCTCTAAAGTGAGACATGCCACAATAAATTAAAAAAAAACTACAATTTCAAGCTTCAATAAAATCAGCGCCATTGTGATTTCCTATCAAATCATGATTAATTTAAATATGCATCAAGTGTTTGCTTAGTAAAGTTTGAGAAAGTCAGTCCACGTGAGATAATTCTATTCTAAGATGGTTGTATAAATTTGTCATTTATGTTTCTTTGTAACAATTGTCACCCTTTGGAGCTCTTTATCAATGAAACATAAAACATAGACATGATACAGGTTTTAGATACGATATAAAAGTATTAAATTTAAGATATTGGAATAGTATCCTTCTTCGACATTTCAGGTAATAATTTTTACACGAGGTAACAGTTATAAAATTTCACATAGTATTTACTATACAATTTATATTTACTCATTGAAATAATGTTCATGAATGATGTGTGTTAGGTCCTACGATTTAATTAACATGTAATATATCGGAAACTTTTTTGAAAGTACAAATATTTTATAGATGTAAGAAGTAAAATTTTGTTGAATGTTATAACGCAATTAATTTATAAAGATAAATTTTTTTAATGGTTTTAGATTTATAATTAGAAAAAATAATTCAAACATATACAAATAAAGATTTATAGATATTTAAACAAAAAATTATTAAAGTGAGTATCCTATATTAGGGGTGGAAACACGGGTCGGATCCGCTGGGTCGGCCCGTTTGACCCACCATTTTTGACGCATTGGATTGATATTTTCGGCTCGATATTTTAAAATAGTCCGTACTATCTAACCCGTTTGAAAATGTGGGTCAGAGGAGGGCAATGCGGATTTTGTCCGCAAGCTTTTCATTAAAACTTTTTATTTTTTACTTAGAATTAAAACAAATTTAACTATAAAAACAATACTCTTCTCTTAAGATTATGTTGATTGAATTGTATTATAAATAATTATACAAATAAATTGAATTATAATTGTAACGTTTTTTCTATAACTTTCTAATATATGTGTTGATTGAAAAAACTTGAAATAAAAGAATAATTGTATGATTAGTATATATGTATGACAAATTAAGGATTTAATTATTAAATAATCAGTCAATATAAGAGTCTATATGATGTAAACAGTGAGAAAGTCAGACATTGATATTTTATGTACTACTATTTTATGCACTGTGATGTTTTATGCTGTGGAATTGTTATCATTGTTTGTCTTTTGTAAATTCTTAATTGAGTTAGTTTTTAAATATGATTAGGATGATATGTATTATTTATTTATTTTGATACGTTTTTTTATTGTGCTTGAGTTTATTTTATTTTGTTATTGTTGTAATTGGTCTTTATTTATTTTATTATTTGAACTGTTTGAACTTAGGACATGTTGAAGCTCTATTATGCGTTGTTAAAAAAATCTTTTGTTGACCTTTTTGCTAATAAATAAGTTTTTTTTTAAAATTATGTAGTAAATCAAATTGTAAAATAAAAAATAAAAAATTAATGGGTCAGCCCGCCAACTCGTTAGTAAACGGGGTGGGCTTGACTTTTGAGATCGAACGCCTAAGTTGACCTGTCCCGCTTTTGGACAGACTCCGCCCACTTTGCCACCCCTATACTATATTTACTTAAATATTATCGAAAAAAGAATACATGTGACACGCTGATTTAAACCATGAATTGTATAAAAAATGCTACTTGAAATTTTATAATAATTGTTACCTTTTGTAAAAAACTGAAACATAATAAAATTATCCTAAATAAACTTTTTATTTAATTTCAAAACTAATATTTAGCTAAATTTAAGTCATATATTTATAAAAACTGAAGAAAAAAACCTAGAATGTTATCAAGTATTATTTTATTTATCTTAAAATATAAAAAAAAATCAATATAAATAATTTTATTTTCTTATATATATATATATATATATATGTATATATATATATATATATATATATATATATATATATATATATATATATATATATATATATATATATATATATATATATATATATATATATATATATATATATATATATATATATATATATATATATATATATATATATATATATATATATATATATATATATATATATATATATATATATATATATATATATATATATATATATATATACATATATATATATATATATATATATATATATATATATATATATATATATATATATATATACATATATATATATATATATATATACATATATATATATATATATACATATATATATATATATATATATACATATATATATATATATATATATATATATATATATATATATATATATATATATATATATATATATATATATATATATATATATATATATATATATATATATATATATATATATATATATATATATATATATATATATATATATATATATATATATATATATATATATATATATATATATATATATATATATATATATATATATATAATTTTAGGTTTAGAATTTTTTTTAGTAACTTAAAAAAAAAGAACAAAAAAACGATATATTAAAAAAGAACAAAAATATTTAATTTCTTTAGTGAGGATTTATTAGGCTTCGTGTGTGTGGCCATGACTGGAGTAGAATCGTTACGTGGAAATCTTAAATCGTGAAGTGGTTACTTTTGTATCATTTTTGACCTCTTAGATTTGTATTGTTATTGCTCAATATTTAGTTTAGGACACCTCTCACACACTTAGTTCCTCTTGAGTTATTCTATAATGAACCTCTTTATTTCTCGCTTTGATTGTCCCTTGTACGTTGTCATGTATCCCTCCCCCGTTTGATGTATTTTGTTATTTTGTTCTCTGTTGTTTTGCTAGTTAGGCGTCTTAAGAATTAGGACAGAACCCGAAAAACATTCTTAACCCACATATCAAGTCATACCTAAAACTTGTAAGTCGATTGCCTCGTGCATCACCATCAACTTTGTTCGCATCACTTCAAACTTTTTCTTAATAAGATAAAACCCTTGATCCAACGTCAAGTGACATTCTTCTCAATAAATTCAAAACTACAATAAAATATGATTAGGATTGCGCGTCACGAGCCTTAAATGGTGGAGAAGAAGTGAGAATGGAGCTCCTCCTACACTCATTTCGAGTATTTTGAATACAAGGCGCTCGACTTGGTTGTTTGAAATATTCACCTTTACCCATAGTATTTAGTGCAATCATAATCAAAAACAATTTTCTTTCAAAACCATAAAAACAACACCAACTCACTAAACCTCTTTTTTCGCCTTAGGGCATCATCCTAGAACCCTTTTTTAAGGTATAAAATCAACCAACACACAATCATTTCTCAAGCCTCCGAACTACAGAGCTCTGATTCTTCACTTTTTTTAAGTGACGATACGTAGGCACAAGGGCCACAATCCTTGGCGAGCACCTTAATAAAAAACCAACCATCTTTCCCTTAATCAATTAAAACTTTCAGCAATTAAACCTTTAAAATACAACACCCATTCAAGCTAGACAACTTAGATGGTTCCCATCAAGTACGATGGATGCGAGGGGATGCTAATACCTTCCCCCCGCATAACCGACTCCCGAACCCGAAACTTGGTTCCGATGACCATGTTCTTTCCCTAAAGCTTTTATCGTTATTTCCCTTTCCCTCTTTGGGATAAATAAAATTTGGTGGCGACTTTGTGTCATTTTTTGTGTAGTGACAACTGGCGACTCTGTTGGGGATATCTAAGCAAGTCAAGCCCAATCTAGGTTGTTTTTGTATGTTTGAGTGTTTTCTCTTTATTCTTTACTCACTTTCTTACTTTCCTTTTTATTCACTCGTATCTTGTATGTCTTTTAATGTTGTGGTATGGATTGGGTACTTTGGTGGCAAACTATAAGGGAAAGAATCTACACCTGAGTATAGAGTGTAACATTGAGATAAGAGAGGTTGAGTAGTATGGGCTTCTGAGATGCTCATCTCGTGAGAGTCGATAGGAGAGCCTCGCTTAGAGTAGATTCCTTTGAGAAAATTGACGACCATCAAGCTCTTGGCGTGTTTGATCAATATTTTCTTGGGAATACATGACTCTAAGGACCTTTTTAGAACCCTAAACCATTTGCCAACTAAGATCGATGGTCATGTACTATAGGTCCCCGAGAAGTTCTTTTCGTGAGGTTCGATACAAAAATCTCATTCAGAAGAGACTTTCTTGATGGAGTTGTTGTCTGGCAATGACTGACATGTGTAACTAACAGTTGAGAAAGTCCATGACTCTAAAACCCTTGTCTAGAACACAATGTCGATGGTCTCGTGTATGGGTCCCCAAGAAGTTCTTCTCGCGAGGTTCGATACGAAGATCTCACCCAAAATAGGTTCATATGATGGAGT